TGAACTTGACACTCCTTCTCCTGCTTCTATACCTTCTGCACAGGTTGATCCCCAGGCATGGAACATACTTTCTCCTCACTTATTCCTTCAGTCCCTAGCTTCATTCAAACTCATGTGCCACTTTCTATAGGAAGTCTTTTCATATCTCCCTCATTGTTAATATTCTTTCCCTTCCAAATATCATCTATATACTTACTAATTCACAAAGCAACCTCCCAATGACAGCCCCATACCCTACCCACATCCCACCCCTTATAAACTCCTTTAAAACAGAATATTTTTGTGTATATTGTTTTGTTTTATATCATCAAGTACAGTGCTTTGCATGCAGTAGACCCTTAATAAATGCTTCTTGGATTGTGCTCAAGCACAAAGGGTTCCTGAGCTCACCTTGATGAGATTCTCCAGGACGTTTTTACAGATGGCTTTTTTGTCAGTGTTGGCGAGCTCCCTCTTTTTAATGAGCACTCTGTATCTGTTGAAGAAGTCATGATAGGTCCACCTAGAGAGAAAGCAAAATTAGCATTCGTCAGTGTCTGTTGAACTTTGAATGGTTGCTGAGAACCTTTAAATAGCTCACATCTCTACAGCACTTCAAAGTTCACAAAGGGTTTTTTTTTTTTTGGTCTTGTTTTGTTGTTGCCTCACAAAAACCCTGTGAGGTAGGTAATACAAGTATTATCATTCCCATTTAATAGATGAGAAAATAGAGGCTCCTAGAGATCAAATGAACTTGCCCAAGGATATACAAGTGTCTGAGTCAAAATTCAAATCCCAGTTCTTCTCATTCTAAGTCTAGTGCTCTTTCCATTAGACCAGAGGTAGGGAACCTGTGGCCTTGAGGCCACATATGGCCCTCTAGGTCCTCAAGTGTGGCCCTTTGACTGAATCCAAACTTCACAATCTTCCCAAAGGGCTGCACTTGAGGACCTAGAGACCGCATGTGGCCTCAAGGCCACAGGTCCCCCACCCCTGTATTAGACTATATTGAACCCAAAGGGCTTGAATGAGCCCTTCAAAACACAACAGTGCTCACCAGGCCAACTGCTTCCTAGGAGTTCTTAGCTAGACATTTGGCCCATTACTTTGGGACTATGTATGACTTGAATGTTCCTCAATTTTCTTCTTGTGAGAGCAACAATGACATCCTTGGCATTCTTCTCTCTAAATCTGACTTCCAGTCTTCCTAGGACCACCCTCACAATTAGTGTCTGACCTTGTTGACTGACTCACCACTTGAACTCTTTAACCAACTTTTTCCCCAAATGAAGGAACTTTTCCTGCAGATATTGCTGGTTCTTTAGATCCATAAATTATAGTTCTCCAGCTGGGTGTTATGTGTCTCCTGTGTGGTACTGGGCTGGTCACCAGACACAACAGGTTTCCCCTGCCCAGCTGTATAGCCTGCAGGCAAAACCCTTATATCCTGGGTTTTCCTCTGTATGAAGGCTGTGCTCCTTGGGTGACAGCATTTTTATTTTTCAGAGGTCAGCATACTAAAGAGTCAAATCATATGACCTCTCTCCCACACATGAACACTCCCACACCTGCCTATACTGGCTCTCAAAGCATGAAAGAACATCTAAAAGCATGAAAGTTACAGAGCTGTGAACTAGGGATCCCTGAAAAGTTTTCTGTTTTAGGAGTTGTTTATTAATGAACAGAATGAGTGTAGCATGAAGGGAATGGACGGTTTTTGGCTCTCCTTACTTATTTTTTAAACACTTATCTCCCGGTTCTCCTCCTGTCTGACTGTTCTTTCTCAGTCTCCGATACCTTTCTGTGTAGAGTATTCAAATTAATATTACCATTGCTGGCTCATAATCTGTATCATGCCCTCCAGTCCTCATGGTTCTGTCCTAGGTCCTCTTCTCCATTCTCTGCTGGTAACCTTAACAACTCCCAAGGCTTTAATTATCCTTTCTATGGTTATCTCTAAGCAAATAATTCACAGATCAGTCTGTCTGTCTGTCTATCTATCTATCTATCTATCTATCTAGTCCCAATCTCACCCCTGAGCTTCAGCCCTTCATCACCAATTACCTATTGGACCTTTTAAACTGTAGCTCCCAGAGACATGTTAAACTTGGGATGTCCAAAATGGAACTCATTATCTTTCCCCACAAACTCTCCTTCTTCAAGTTCCATATTATTTTAAAGATACTACCATCCTTCTAGCATTCTAGGCTCATAACCTCAGCATTACCCTGAATTCTTTATTCTCTTTTAACCTACACATCCAATCAGTTGGCAATTTTTATCACTTCTACATTCACAACATCTCTCACATCTGTCCTCTTCTTTCTACATAGCTACAACCTTAGTTCAGGACCTCATCACCTCTCACGTAAATTACTGCAACAGCCCCCTATTTAGTTTCCCTTCCTAAAGTCTCCCACCACTCTGGTTCATCCTACACACTGCTGCCAAGGTAATTTTTCTTAAGTGCAGATCTGATCTTGTGACTCTTCGACTCAATCAATTGCAATGGGGCTGCCACTTACCTGTAGAGTAACCATATAAACTCCATTTAGCTTTTAAAGCCCTTTGCAACCTGGGTTCCCATCTTTCCAGTCTCATTGGATATTACCTAATTTTCTACACTCTTCAATCCAGTCATACTGGGCCTTCTCCCTGTTCCTTATATACAACACTCCATGTCCTCTCTCCATGCTTAGAATGCTCTCTCCTTACTCCATCTCACCAAGCCCGTCTCTTCTAATTGGAAGGAAAAATTCCAGTCCCCCCTTCTCCAGTCTATCCTTTGGACAACTGCCAAAATAATCTTCCTAAAGCACAATATTGGTTATGTCATTCCCTCATTACAATGAGTCACGTGTCAAGTTCAATCTCTAACTGGTGGATGGTAGACACTTCAGAGCTGGAGGACCATTTGGGGGCCCTCATATCACATTGCATAGGTAAGTAACTCCTTGATCCACCCATTTATAAGACCTATCCTGAATACATTTCATTTCTCCAGAAGGTAAAACTCCATCCCATACAACTATCTACCTTGGTCATCTCCATGCCATCCATTCTGCATTGGCTTTCTCCAGACCACCAGACCTCTTAAGACTAAGCCCTGAGTGACTTAATCTACTCAGCTTTGAAACCAGAACTCTTTTTGATTGCTAAGTTAGCCAGCACAGATGCCTATGATCCATTATATGTAGTCAGTCCCAGACCATGCTTCAGATCTCATCTCACCATCCACCTGGCCCATCTCTTTGATACCTTTCTGTGTAGAGTATTCAAATTAATATTACCATTGCTACTAGAAAGGCCACATCCATTGATTCTCCTATGGATCTACAAATGATCCCCATGACTTCCAAAATCAAAACAACCCTTCATGAAGTGGCTACTATACTCCCTTTTTGAGTTGTTTCTCTCAACTAGAATGTTAGTTCTTTGAGGGCAGGGACTATCCTGCTTTTATACTTGTACCCTCAGAACTCAATACAACACTTGGCACACAGTAAGTGCTTAATAAATGCTTTTTGTTCATTCACCACTTAGGGCAGTGTAAAAAATAGACTTCCACATAGAGTTCCTTAGCTTGGGCCATATAGTTAAAATTGTAAGGATAAGAAAGGAAAAAGAATTCCTCAAAGTAATGTCCCATTACTTTTTGATCACTGGTATCAGTGAGACCCTTCTGTAGCCTTACTCCAGTGACATGAGAGTTATTCAGGGTTCTGAAGACTTTTTCAATGAATTGCATAATTTGGCAAGTCCAATACCAAGCAAGAAGGGTTGGGGGGTGGGGTTATCCTAGGGATGGATAATATAACTTTTTTGCAAGAAGGAATCTTGATAAATTGAAAGAGGCTAATCACCAGAAGGTTGGTGACCAGGAGACAAATTTTTACAAACACCTACTAAGTGTGGAGGGGCTATACACTGTATCAGCAGAGGGACTACTCACACTGATGAAACTGAGGTCCTTAAAGCACTTAACTACTAGTGATAAATTTAGTTGACCAAATTATCCTGCATTTATCCTTTGCCTAGAGATTACTTGAGCTTTATCATGGCTCTGACATGATCTGTTATTGGTATAGATTCTTCTGAGGGCAAGAAACATTTTCCTTATGTCTTCATATCCATCACATTTAACTCAGTGCCTGGCATATATTAGGTGCTTAATAAATGTATGATGAATGACTTGCTGGACCTGAGTGTAAATTCTTTTGGGGACGTGGGATAGCCATGCTCCTTGAACCAGAAGCACTGTGAAGAAGCAGGGGTTAACTAGGGAGCCCAAGTACATTTCCAAGTATGGAAATGATTCTTCCCACTGCTTGCCCTGTATTTAGGACACCCCAAATAAATAGGAAGCATTGCTAAATGCTATGCTAAGCTGAGACCAGACTGCAAACTCACCTCACTAAGTTATTGACTTATGGAACTGAGTTATGTCAGAAGCAGGAGACTTCTCAACAGAAAACAGCATGGGTTCTTTCCTCTTCCTAATGCCATTTTAATTATGTCAGACATGTCTGTTAAATGTCTAGAGGATTTCTAAGCCCTGACTTGGGATTCGAGTGACTCAATACTGTATTCTCTTGGGAAGGCAGGCTCCAAAACAGGGATTGATTTTGCTTTTAATGCATGCAAATGTAACTGACTTCTTTGCAGGCTATTCTAAACACAGCTTCCCTCTACCTCACACTGCCCCTCATGTGCCACAGTTTCAGACTAGTGTTTTCCTACCTCATAGGGCTATGAAGGTTCCTTTCAATTTTAAACATGCAATCTTGTGGTCTCCTCACCAGCCCCACCCCCAGCCCCTACCAGGACTTTGGGAACTCAGAGAAACAAATGAAAGCTTTCCAATCTGTGTGGCATCCAGTTTACTCTACAAACACAAATTCCTCATTTTGCCAGAAGGCAGGAGTAGGACTGGAGTTTTTGAAAACACACATTAGGGGGAGCAATGTCAGAGAGGGTAATATGATTGCCTACAAAACCAATGTCATAAATGTTGCAAATGGACAGGGGCTGAGCAACACTACAATAAGATCTCATGACTCTAAAATAAGATTTCAAGCCAAGCTTCTCCCTGAAACAAAAGTCCATCTTTTTAATACCAATACTCTTCCAGTGAAGTGTTTTGGCTTCTAGTCATAGACTGATGCTCTCTCCAAGGAGGTGGGGTTAGGAATCATCTAAAAGCAAAAATTCTTAAGGTCTTTTGTACTTTGGACCCCTTTGGCAGGCTGGTGAAGCATTTGGACTCCTCAGAATAATGTTTTTAAATAACTGAAGAAAGCACTGAATTTCAGTTAAAGGTTAGTGAAAATAAAGATGCAGGTTTTTTTTTTTCCAATCCAAATTCAGGGACCACTTCAAGGGACTGTGGATCTCAGGCTAAGAATCTCTGATCTAAATGGTAATAGGAATATGTATGGTGGATATGACCAGGCTGTAAGACAAAATAATGAGGAATTGTGAAGGGAAAGAGATGTAAAGGATGTCATCAGAGAAATATATGAT